AGAAGAGATGAACGGAAAAAAAATCAATTAATGAGAAAAAAGATTAAGAAAAGGAAATAAAACAAGAAAAATGAACGTTAGGAAAATTAAATTTAAATAGAAGCATAAAAAAAACAAACAGGCCATGAAAAAAGCTGACAAGTATCAAGGAAATAATAGGAAAATCGAAAGAGAAGGAAAATTAAAGAAAGAAAAAATATTATAAACGTAATAAAACATACACATCTGTTAAAATGAAAATAAATGAGAGCAAATTACTCGAAGTCAACAATTTTGTATCTTTTATTCACTCAATATATATATATATATATATATATATATATATATATAGTTTTAAGATATGCTATGTTTACGGGTAAAAGTGCTCAATATCAGGGATACAGCGTATGTAATATAAAAAGTAGACACACAATGGGGTCAACACCGAGCACACATATATATACAACACACACACACACATATATATATATATATATATATATATATATATATATATATATATTTATTATTTATTTTTTAATCATTTCATCCCAAGCAAGGCAGAAATGCCACTAGGATATAGGGGACTACAGGGAGTGAAAGTCAGAGAAAAGATGAGTATTGGAAGGATTGAGAAAAGGGCAAAGGATGAACGTGATTCACGAAGATGGTGATTGACGTTGCATTTAAATTTTTGATGATTGTAGTTATCAGAGAAACAAGTAAACGGTGGGAGTTCTACAGGTGGAAAGTGCGAGAAAACACAGTGTTAAAGGAGAAGTAGCGGTTGCATTTAGCTATTTCAAGAGTAAACGTGTGGGGCCGAGATGCCAATCTAATAGCACGCTTAAATTCATGTAGTCAGAGAACCAGGGAAAAAGATCACCAGAGCAGTTTCCATGAAAATATTTGTAGAAAAGACAGAGGGAAACGACATCACGTATGTGAGAAAGTGACTGAATATATATATATAAATATATATATATATATATATATATATATATATATATATATATATATTATTCACACAAAACAAATGCAAAGGTAATGATTTAATTGGCGAGAAATCCATCGTCGCAAACAATTCAAATAATATACAAAAACCTCCGAATCCGTTATGAATGAAAGGATCCTTGTTTCTATAAATTTCTGCCGTATTAGTTCTTATTTTTACTACAAGCTTTCGTCTGTTCCTACAGACATCTTTAGGTATAGAATAGATGTTGTTCTTGTTTTTTCTCTTAGTAATAAGAGGACAACGAAAATATATGTATTGTTGTATCCGAAAATGCTATTGGAAATGAGTTATTGTTTTTGGAGCGCGCAGTAGCAACGCTGAGTTTGATTTTAAATTTTTAAAAATTGTGCGTTCATATACAAATATGGTGATGAACGAATTTTTTACTGGTAAACTTTCTGTCAAAGTGGCATGAACTATATTGTTCAATAATTACAGTAATGTCGCACTTATTATCCAAAAGTCGAACTTGGATCAGTTATTTAAATTACGATAAACGTAATATATATATATATATATATATATATATATATATATATATATATATATATATATATATATATTTTGGCCACTTTTTCATTTATACATGTTATATATATATATATATATATATTATATTTAGCCACTAACTTTTCATTTATACATGTTCTACTGACTATGACTGACAAATCTTGAAGTGTCAAACTAACCGATCTTCAAATCTTTTTACTCTGAGGATCGCATTGAAGTATGAAATTGATAGTCAGTTTGCTGTATTGATTCCTATTTCCGCACTGTCTCTACCTATAAACGCTATATCTCAGATATTGTGCACTCTTTTCTAGTAAATATACCAAATTCTCAACATTATATATATATGGCTCGGCGTTGTCCATGCTTGATTCAAAAATCGTACGACTCATACAGCAACCGCTATCACTTGACTTAAAATATTTTTGCCCTTCCTTGCCTTTAAAGGAGTGCTCTTTGCCGTGCTGATGTTGCTACATGCCTTACTTCTTGCCTATCTCACACTGCGAACAAAATGAACACAAAACGATCAGCTGTAAAAAAGGACTCGTAAATGGAAAAACCGAATGAAAAATTAATGTTAACAATAAATACTTTTCACACCCAACCCAGTTCTGCGGAATCAGAATCAACGTTGAGTTTAAGCAAGCGAATGAGCCAATTGGAGTAATGTGCTATGCAGATTTAAATTTTTCCCACTTGTGACGAATGCAGCTATCAATTTTTTTTGCATGCTATCATGCTAGTTAACATTCGTGTCAGTCAGGTGTGGGCTCTCACGCTGGCCAATAGAATCTTCCTGCCTATTCGTGGCAGCCAGCTATAGGCTCTCACTATGGCTAGTAGAAAATGGCCGCAAACTACATGGAAACTGCCGTAGAAGCATGAAAAATCGATTATTTCCACTATCGATGGGAGTTGGGAAATGCAAAGTCGGTCTTGGCCTATCTCGCTAACTTGGAGCATGTGCATGTAAATTTTGGTGCAAATCCGTCGAAAATTGCGGCCGTGCATTCGTTACACACACACACACACACACACACACACACACACACACACACACACACACACACACACACACTGCCCTGCCTTATATATATATATATATATATATATATATATATATATATATATATATATATATTATTTTTTACACACACACACATATATATATATAATTGACATATCTTAAATAATGGACTATTCTATTTTGATTGCGTGGAAAAATGATTTTTGGTTTCAGTGAGAAAATGAAAGAAAAAGGAAGATAGAAGTGTTTAACGCCTGTTTCAGTGAAATGGAAAAAAGATGTCAGTTTCAAATCTTTTCATTTGTACCTCCTTACTTCTTAAATAACGGCCATCATTCATATTTATTATTTTTATTCCAATATTCTGTTAAACTTGTTAATCTCAAATACTTAACATTAACAATGTGACAGGGGATTTTCTACAGATATTTTATTGATGTAGAACTCGCCATGAGTCTATTCAATCATTAAGTCAATAATTAAGATTCATCAAAAACTCCAATAGGAAAACCATGTAATTTTCACTTGTTAAAACTTGTATATATTATTGGTCTCTTACGAGGGAATAGTCCGATTAAAAACTGCATCGACAACACCTCATGAATATGTAATAAAATATATAAAGAAGAATCCATGCACTTACTCGAGAAATATACGAAAGTTATAATTAAATGTCGGTGATGAAAAATCGGTTATAGTGTTGCCTATCTGGCGGGATAGAGATACTCAATACTACCTCTGGGATGAGGTTCAGAAAATTTAAAGGGAGCATTACTGAAAAGGAACGAAATTGTAGTCGATAAATCTTGGCTTACCTGCCAAATGCATTAGATCGAGTTAAGACGTATTTCAATATTACGGATTTCTTTCCATAGCAAAGTGGGTGTCGGTATAGTTTGGAATTGTCTTGCTACTTGGTTTACCTCGGGCTGCGGAAATAGATCGGTCTATTAATTACCATTTTTTCATTACCATATGTTTACCCGTTGATTAAATAAAGGTTTGAAACTCTCTGAAAGTTACCTGGCTCAAGAGACGCTCGAAGAGAACTGGAAGACACAACATTGTTATAATAACAACAAAGATGCGTTGCAAATACATTCCAAGAGTAAAATATAAACAAAATTATGTAATAAATGATCTTTCTGATGTCATCAGTTCCAAGTAGGCATTTATGCAGATGACACTACTATTTAATCCTGTCTTAATAGCAAATCCGTCAGAGCTGACAAAGTAAACCTTGCTGCTGCTCTTCAAAAGGATCTCCAAAACTAAGACAGGAAATGGCGTGTAAATGTTAACACCTCCCAAATAAAACTGCTCTCATTTAACCACCATAGAGAAACTTTTCTGTCTGCCATCAACATGGCTGACGTTAGATTCCTGGAGAGCAAAACATTGCGTCTTCTTGGCCTCACGTTTTCACCTGACTTGAAGTGAAGCGACTACATCGAATCAATAGTTGCCTATGCTTGCAAGGAATATTGGGTCATTGTGTCGTGCTAGAAAATTTTTCTCGTCATAGTTCATCTTGCACATTTACAAATCTACCATTCATCCGTGAATTAAATACTGATGCCATATTTGGTCTGGTGCTCCTGTTATTCATCTTGTGATTTTTGACAAAATCCAAAGAAAGATCTACAATGTAATCGATTCTGACTTGGCATCTCGACTTCAGTCACTTTTGCACAGACGTGATGTCGCTTCCCTCTGTCTTTTCTACAAATATTTCCATAGCAACTGAATTCAAACAGTTTCTTTTCTCGCACTTTTCACCTGTGGAACACACTTCTGTTTATTTTCCTTCCCTGATAACTACAATCTTCAAACATTTTAAATGCAATTTCAATCTCCATCTTCTATCTTCTTGAATCCCGTTCACCTTTTGTCATTTCTTCAATCTTTCATATACCTTCTCTTAATTTCACTCTCTGTAACCCCCGTAAATGTTGCTTGGGATGAAATGAATAAAAACTAAACAAAAAGAAAAATGTCTTTATAATATTTTTGAAATATATAAACTCTTTGAAAATGTAAAATTAATCAATTTAAATGCCCCCAAAGCAATGAAAGTTTGCGTCATTATATTCTATGAGCTAGAGTTTGAATTACTAATAATGAAATAATTATTTCCTAATTCATGTTATTTTTACATCTGGTGTGCCATGTAAGATAAGTTTACAAGTTTTTTACGAAAAGCTGAAGAGGAGCCTAAAATAAATAAATAAATAAATAAATAAATAAATCATGTTTGGTTCATTTGGTTAAATTTTAAGAGATGGGTCGGACCAATCATTTATTTAACTATCCCTCGTAATTTAAGTTGGGTGATTATGCGGCTTGTTTACTGTCCAAAAATATTTTATTTCCGTTTTAACGTGCTACACATATTGATGATTGATTGCCTGATTCAGATTTATATTTTCCTGTTATGAACCCGCCACAGATAATTTGAAGTCTTACGGCCACATCACGTAGAAAACCTCCCCCACCACCGCTTCTCTTACGATCACCGAAGTTAAGCAACGTCGAGCCTGCTCAGTACCTAGACGGGTGATCGCATGGGAATACCAAGTGCTGTAAACTTGGATGCGAGGGTGGTGTAATGGATAATAGTTCCGAATTTGTAATCGAAGAGCCGAGTTCCAATTCTCGTTGGATATTCACTTACGCACAAATATTCTTGGGAAAGGTATGAATTCACCTCTCCTTTTCCCTGCTATGGGTTATTTAGTAAGACTTGTATCACTAATACCATTATTATCTCAAAAAATTCTTACAATATTTTATGGCTTTAAATAACCTATCCCTAAGACGTAAGGTGTTACAAGAAGTGAAAGAGAATGGGAAGACCTTAATGGGCGAAAAGAACACTAAAAGCAGGGCGACAGGAAAACAGAAGATTGCGATGAACGTTGGATTTAAATTTTTAAAGATTGTAGGTGACAGGGAAGCAAGAAATCGGAAGAGAGTTCCACAGTCGAGAAGTGCGAAAAAAAAGAAATTATTAGTAAAGAACTTAAAGTTATATTTGAATAATTCAATATGAAAACGAATCAATCATTATAAATTCAAGATCCCAATAGTAGATTTAAATTTACACGTCCAAATATTATGTTGTTTAGTCACGAATAAACATTTTTAATATCAACATTAAATCGATTGATTTGACATAATCCTTACTACAATTTTGAAGATAAGTAGAGAAAAATTGTGTCTTGGAAATTATTCGTGAAATATCACATCCAAAACATCAAATCAAAGTTTTCTATTAAATTGATGTATTTATTCGTCAACAATTGAAAGCTAAATTATTTGTCAACATTAAACAACAAGTGAAAACTATATTATTCGTCAGCAATTGAAAACTACTTATTCTTCAATTACATTATTTCTTAATAATTGTATACTGACTAAGAGAAAGCTAATGTTTCGTAAATGATTTAGTCCAGATTTTATGTAATTGCTTTTAAAGGAAGCATTAAGTGAGAGACCAAAACATGTATTTGTCATTAGAAAGATTGAGCAATGCTTGTCATTTCATATATGCGGAAACAAAAAAATACACTATAGACATTAATGTATTTTTCTTGTTTTACAATAACCTTTAATAATACCTTCACTATCCTTCTTGACACTCATCAAATCCAATTATTTAAAAAACAATATAGAAAACAGCTATAGGTCATATACAAAAATTTCTTTTTTCATTGTTAAATAATATTAAAGAAGATAAAGAAAATCGTTCTGTTTTTGCATAATTCATTATCTCATTTTCTGTCCGCATACAAGCAGAGGTTTACGGTTATATCACGTTGAAACATTAGTTCTCGTACGATCATCAAAATTAAACAACTCCGATCCTGGTCAGTACCTAAATTGGTGACCGCTTTGGAATAACAGGTTTGAAATTGGAAATTGGAGTTTCAATATCAGTCGGGGTCATTATATTTACTTTACGCGCAAATAATCTTGGGAAAGGTATGAATCCATCCCTTCTCCCCAGCTATGGATTAATTAGTAAGATTTATAATAGTAAAATCATTGTTTCCAAAAAATTTTTTCAATGTAAAAATATTTTCTGTCTTTAAATAACCCGCAAAAGGTTTTTTTATTAACAATTTAAACTAAAAAAAAAAAATCAATCAATCATACAAGCAGTTTGTCCCTAGTAAATATTGCGGGATTATCTGTTTCCGTTCTGAGTCGAGTTTAGCTAGTAGTTCAAATATATTTTCATGTCGTACCTTTTCAAATGCTGTACGAAATATAGGTATAAGTATTTTTTTATGTCAGGACATCACGGAAACTAAAATATTTGTGTTTTGATTCTTATATTGTATAATATATTGATCCTAATGAATTTTTTTCTGTAATGACGTGGGTGAACGGATTAAATGATAACACGAAACTTGAATCTTATTTACTTAACATAACATTTTAGTCAACACCTGACTTCAGCCAATTTATGGCATGCGGCCCTGCGTCTCTCACTCGACACGCAGACCCAACTCCTTCTATTAGATAGTTGTTTATATATCCATTCTATCCAACAGTCTAGTTCCTACACTTGCAAAACAGGATGTAGGTCTCACACGAGCTCGCGTACTTCGGCATTCGGTTGACCCCTTCCTCACCCGCTGGTGCATCTGGCTTCATTGGTCTGTTCTATATACCGTACCTATGAACACTAATGGGTATGTCTCAATAAATACGTTGGACACTATTGTAAGTGGGGTAATATGTTGTCTAAGTATTCCACCACTATCAGTGGTTTACCTATTACACGCCGCTGGTGGGTATTGTATTTTGGTGATGTTATAATTATTACCATTTCATTTCCAATTTCCGTTTTGGTTATTCCTCATTCAGTAGCCTTTTCTAGTTTACAATAGTCTGGTATGAAATTTGAGTGCAATATCTATTCCGGCATCATTCTTCTTCTTTTTTATATCTTGCCCTTTAGAACTATCATGGATCTCCCCAATATCCCATCTTTTGTAGCTCTTAGTAATGTTTGTTTTTTTGCTATCCTGTCCATTACGCGTCCTGACATCCATTAACACAAACTCGTTAGATTGGTTACGCGCTGTTTTCCCGTCTTTGTCGAATTCATTATGTTCTTTGAGTGTGAACTTTTTTTAATCCTTCTTTTCTCATTATACGTCCTTGAAGTTTCAACTCTTTCTGATTTTAAGTGTAAATTAATGACATGCAAAACGAATGTCATATTTTGAAGCAAGTCGTTTCCAGCGTTGGATCATTTCAACTACATTATTCACAATTGAATATTTTTATTTACTTTTTAAATTTTCTTTTTATTAACAATCATACTAATTCGTTTCCTTTTCAGTTGTTTTCCTCTTATCAAATAAATTATTTGACGACGGAAGGATTCCGCAAAATGTCAGGAAAAAAACATTTCCCTTCATTTCCGAAAAAAAAAAAAACCCGATGGGAATTAAAATTGCTTTCGCGTTATCGAAAACGTGCAGAACCAGTCGGTGATCGACTAATGAAAATGACGAAAGCTACAAATGAGTGGAGATCTGTAATTCTGTGAGCTGATGTTTTTCTAGTGAAATTCAACGGGGTGGGAATGGGGAAGCGAAATAAATCAAATCATTTAATTTGCCTAAGATGATGAGTCATAGAACGACTTTCACGCTGAACAGATACATTTTATGTAAAAAGAAAGACATGATTTTTCGCGTGAAATGAAAAAAAAAAAAACCAATTCGCAAGAAGAAGAAAAAGAAGAAGAAAAGAAAGTAAAAAAAATGTAATGAGACACAAAACGTAGAAAGAAAGATAAAGAGAAACGTGAAGGAGGAAACAGAAAGATGAAAAGATGGAAGGTGAAAAGAGAAGGGATGAAATAAAACTAAACAAAAACAAAACAGGAAAAAAAAAAAAAACGGAAGCAACAAACGAAGAAATCCAAAGAACAACGCAGATAATATACGAAAAATCATCCCACTGAAAATATTTGAAAGACAGGATGACAACAAATAAAGATTAGAAATGGCATTTATTAATTTATTGGATGGTTGTTTGTTTTTGTTTTGCAGCATATCAACTACTATGGATTATACAATGCCGAAATCTAAATATTTTGTACGCAATTCTATTTTTTTAGATAACAATGGTTAATAATGGTTAAAGTGATACCAGTATTACTAATTAACCCATAGCTGGAGGAGAAGAGGTGGATTCATATCTTTCCCAAAGGTATTTGCGCGTAAGTGAATACAAAAAAATCCAAACTGGAAATGGAACTTCCGATTAACAATTCCGAGGCATTATCCATTACACCACCCGCGCATTCAAACACCTGGTATTTCAAAGCGGTCTCCCATCTAGGTACTGACTAGGCACGACGTTGCTTAACTTCGGTGATCGTACGAGAACCGGTCTTTCAACATGACGTGGTTATAAGCTTATCAATTTTTGAGGGACTAGAAATATTGTGAAATGTATAGATATACTGTGTAATGAAGTCGTTGTGCTGTTTAATGAAAACACGAGACATATTTAACATTATGCTTCTGACATTTTCAGTTATCGTAGACCAGTTTGTCTGTGCGAAGCCCCGGATGTCCCACCGGAGCATGGACCTTACATTCTCCTGTGCAATGTCTGAGATACTGACATATCAATGCGGCTCTTCCTCGAGCGACGCATTGCAGTGTCGCTGTGCCGATTACGTGGATCTGCGTCCAGTGACTAGGAAGTCACCTCGCATCTGGCTTTTCTGAAGGACACTGAGAGCAAAGTATTTTATGCATGATCTGAGATGAGCTACATACTACATTTGACATATTGTATCGTCTACTGACATGTTTTTTGCAAAGATGAAAAGGAAAGGTTCAATCGAAAATGACAATGAAAACTGAGAATGACAAAGTATCAACTGTGACATTTTAAAAGTCATAATGCCAACTTGTATGAAAGATAGAATAAAATGTAAGTCTATTTTCGTCTCATCTGTATTGCAACTTAGCATAGTAACGAAATATTTGCTTGAGTAATATCCACAAGATTGTCAAAAAACAAAACAGAAAAACTACTGCGAATGAGAAAGTGATTGACAATGATTCTTTGAGAAACCTGTAATAACATTAGGTTCCTAAGTTTGTTACCGTTTGTAGCTTCCGTGTCTCGTTTGTTGAACTGAGATATTTTGTGATGTTGGAGACACACACACACACACACACACACACATACACACACACACACACATACATATATATATATATATATATATATGTATATATAGGTAAAATGAGAACAAAGGGAGTATAGTTCCACTGTTCGTAACATTTCATTTAAAAGAGGGCACAATGCAGAGTAGAGCTAAATATTATTTATTTTAGGATATTAAAACAAAAACATGTTAAAAATCGCTACACAATTGCAATTATGTTTCAACAATACAAATGTGTATCCTCAGGTAAGCGAATAAATAAACAGTGCTATGAAGAATATATTAATAAATATACATATACCTACGTTATGTATAGAGAGAGTATGTATGACGATCGCAAGGGCGTGAAACCCAGGGTCATAAACTCACATTAATA